GAAGCGTTCATTTCCTAGTTTCAACTCACATGCAAATGTGGAGCGTCACTGATGTCCCATAGACAAGCCCAGTTCATCGGCTTCTATTTGGAACCCACGATCCTCCCTCAGATAGGCATGCCTCAATGTTCGCACATTAATATAGAACGGTTAACAGGTAGCACTTGCCCGAGCATTAGAGACCTTCCCGATCGATATCTTCTGCCAATCGGAAACCCGCCTGCAAGACTCGAAGTCTGTTCGTTCTGCGATCCCCTTCAGGTGACACTAACAGTGCATTCTCATTGCGCCTATCCGGAGACGATACAGCTTCGAGTACCGGCCGAGCCAGTGTTGGTATTGCGCAAGTTTCCAAGCAGAAGCTACTCTGAGTGAATTCCAATCAGTAGCGAAATGTGTGCGGTCCGACTGGCTGACACGTTCAAAAACTGGAAGCCGCGGGGGGCTTATAGATGTCTGTTTGTTATCGCTTCCTACACCAACACAAACAGTAGAGCTGACTCGGTAAAAGATGACTTCTACCGCCAACTGAACGAGCTCCTTCGTCACAGAAGAAATGGACACTGTAGTGTTGGTTAGGGATCTGAACGCTCAAGTTGGGAAATTGTCCACTGATGAGCTGCATCTGCGCAGCCAACATGATGAAGGCTCCCGTAATGATAACGAGGTGCGGTTACTCCATTTGTGTGAAGATACTCGCCAATTTCTTACAAGCAATAACTTCCGACCTAGCACGCGCCGGTGACATGGCGTTCACTAGCCATGGACGCAAATCGATCACATCGCGATCAGTTACTGCTGGAGAGGCTGCCTCTAAAACTGTCGTTCGAATTAGAGCACATGTGTGGACACTGAATATGAACTTGTATGGGCTGATCTGCGGTTGCGTTTTGGCGGACGCCCACGAAGACCCTGTGAGCGCATAGACACCAGCCAACTGGCGAAGTTAGATGTTCTGAATGCGTAAGAAAGTACGCTGGCATTCGGGTTGAGTAAACGCTTACTGAATACAGTTGTAGGTCAATGGTCGCATGTGCGCTAGCAGCAGACAGATCCTCACGTGGTAAATCTAATGGCAAACATGGACATTGGATCTTTACGCAGTCTCTAGAACTTATCGATGCTCGCCGGCACATTCCGGTCGGAAACGAACACAACGAGACCAGAAAAGACCTCAGGGCAAACTCCGTTCTAGCCTAAAAGACGGCAAATCTTGACGGTCTCATCGTGCGTCAGAGATGGAAGTAGCCGCTGCCCACGGTAGCCTCGGAAGTTATTCCCTCTGATACGGGAAACCGGAAGCAGAAGATCAGGTGTTGGTGAAACTATATGTGACGAGAGTGGATAGCCTATCCACAACTTGACAAAACACATGGAGTGTTGGGCTGAGCACTTTGAAAGGCAATTTAATCGACCTAACTTGTTAGACTCCCCACCCGGTATTCGTCGCCCTGCCCTCTGGCTTGTAGCTTTGGATCCACCCTCTCGCTCAGAAGTCGAATGTGAGATCAAAGTGCTGAAGTAGAATAACGCCGCGGGACCAGATGATCTTACTCCAGCCCATTTTAAATGCGCGGGCCGCTCTTGTAGATGAGTTATATGAGTTACTAGTGAAACTGTGGGAGCAGGAAAATATCCCGACCGACTGGAATCGCTCCGTTTTTGTCCCGATATTCAAGAGACTCACGTTCGGAATGCGACAACCATAAAGAAACCAGTCTGATCTACATCGCCTCCGAACTGCTTACCTCTGACATTGTTCACAGATTGACCGGCACCCGCGAAAGCAAGATTTGTGAGAAACAGACCTGGTTCCATCGACGTCGGAGCTGCATCGATCATATCCTCACTGTACGTGAAGTGTTGTAGCACCGTCCAATCAGTCGGCGGCCCATGGTAGTCCTGCTGCTAGACATCAAAGGGGTTTTCGTTTCGGTTGACCTATGTGCCCTATAAATATGCAAGTATACGAACACTTTACGCGCGTAGCTCCGGCAGTGAGCGCTTACGACAAGCTCCCTATGCGCTTCAATATATCCAGCGGTGTAAGACAAGGATGCCCGTTGTCGTCTTTCTCCTTCAATTTGTTATTGGCGGTCATGGAAATCCCGTTCACGGGGCATGACATAGGTGTGGAGCTGCTCCCAGATGAACGACTCCTTGACTTAGAGTATGCTAATGACGTTGAACTCATCTGTGACAGCACATAAACGTGCCAAGCGGCATTGGACAGACTAGCACTGGCCGTCAGTCAGTTAGGGCTTTGCTATGAACCCTGAAAGTGCCAATCTTTCCTCCAAGATTGGCAGGGACCACCTACTGCCCTGACCCAGGTGCAGATCAGTTTGAAGCCATTCAGAAATTTAACCAACTAGGCAGTTGTGTCAGTGCAAGTGGAGTTGAGGACGAGATCACTAACCGTACAGTAAAAGCTAGAGGCGCTTTTCCTAACCTTCGACCCCTATGGCGCAGGCGCGAGATCACTATCTCCCTGTAGGATAGAGTCTACAATGTAGCTGTACGTTCGACCCTACTGTATGGTAACGAAACCCGGCCCATTAGATGGGCAGATGTGAAGAGGCTAGTTACGTTCGATCACCGGTGCCTTCGCAGTTTGACTCATATCCGGTGGGAACACCCTGTGATCAATAAGCGTGTTCGACGCCTTGTTCATGGAACAGGAAAAGGAAGTGAACCGCTCAGCATCATTATTTCACGAACCAGGCTGTCACGTGTGCGCATACCAACGCACCGAGTCTCGTGACGCGCGTTGTTTGCGCACCGAGTGTGAATGGAAGAAAAACAGGGGTGACCAAGAGATGACTTGGGCAAGAGGAATGAAGGCCCCGTATTTCGTGGATGGAGCCCCTAGGCTCCCTGGTTGGGATCCGAAAGATGCTGAACACGTTTGGCAGGATACACATATTGACATGGCTAGGAGTCGACCTCAGTGGCATTTGTGTTGTTAATTTGTTTGTCCCTCCACATATATATATATATATATATATATATATATATATATATATATATATATATATATAATCTGTGGTACAGATATCGTGCCATCGGACTCATGGCTGAATGGGAAAACAGTGTGAATAATCAGAAAAGAGCAACAACAAAAGCTGTTCTGTCCAGTTTACCACTCACAGTTTTTGAAATTCTTTCAGTTTGTTTTTTTGGGGAGGAAGAAGGGACACCGCAACAAACCGATGCACACGTCCGCCATGGACATCGATCTTGAGCCATGGTTCCCAAGGTATTCAACCAACAAGTATCCGCATCGCTCGGACCCCAACCAGGTAGTGGACAACCACCGGCCGAGGCCAACTGCTTCGTCAGCCTTTTCATGCGGCTTCTCCATGTTGTAGGCTGTCCACCAGACCGTCTATTGCAGCCTTGTTCAGCAACCGCAAACAACGCACGACGCGGGTAACGCTGGACAGGCATGCGCAATACGTGTCCCAACCTCCACAGTTGATGCAGTGAGACGACCTCATGGAGCGAGTAGCTTCTACGTCCCAAGACACGCTGTATAACTTCCACATTGCATATGTGGTGCAGTCACCACACACGGGCAATGGACCGCAGACAGCCGTGCTCGAAGACGGATAGCCTGCGCAAGTCATCTTTACGAATGGGCCAGGTCTCGCATTCGTACAAAAGTACAGCACGAACAGTTGCACAATAGACCCGCCCTTTGATGGAGAGACGAATGTCCTGGCGATGCCACACGTATAGAAAAGGCGAGGCGTGCTCTCAAGATGCGCATCGAAATCTCATCTCCAACAGCAGTGATGCAACTTCCCAAGTAGACAAAGCTCTCCACAACCTCTAGTGTCTCACCACCAAGAGTGAGTGCAGGCAGAGGCACTTGCCAGTTTTGGAAGAACCTTGCATTTGGATGGCGAAAAGTACATACCATACTTTGATGCTTCAATCGCCAAGCGGTTTAGTGCAAGTTGGACGAAATGTGGATCGTCACCTAGCAAGACTATATCATCAGCATAATCCAAATCAACAACTCGACTACCTGGGAGGAGTTCAACACCAGCGTTCAACAAATCGCCCAGAGCGTTCTTCAGGACATCCTCAATGGTAAAGTTGAATAGCAACGGAGAGACAGGGCATCCTTGTGGAAATCCACTGGAGAACACAAAGGTAGGTGAAAGCTTGCCATAAACCCTGCCCGAGGTCAGACTATAGAGAGTGCGCAGTATGTTGTCCCTCCGTCCCCAAACACGATTTTATTACCAGGCATAAAATAATTCTTTTTTGCTGCGCAACAGCTAGCTGGTAGTTCTCCGGAAGGATGTCCACTCGATACTGGTGTCTCAGCTGGTGTACCTATGCTGCGTTTTTTAAGTATGTATGTTTTCTTATGTATTATGACGCAATAGCTGAGGTGTTTTCCATTTCTAGCTAACGTGTATAATGATAATTACGGTCAATGGAGTGAAAGTAATCTGGATGGAAAATGTTCGACTGAAGAACGCCACTTTACGAATTTGTGTAAAAGTCCCTAGTGCAGCGATGACCGGGGTGCTGAAAATGCAGAGTAGAAGAGGATATGCAAGTGAGCGTGAGGTGCCGATGTTGGTAAAACGGACGAGTACAACCAGTTCAGTTGGAGTAGTCGGAAACCGCCGGTTCAAACAGTACTAAATGTGAAGACCGGCCTGATACAGACAACGGAAGCAGAGCTGTGACCAGGAGTCGAGAATGAACTAAAAAATTAAGTAACCTCAACTGCCAAAGTATAACGATCGCACCCTCGATGGGCTGACGGATGTGCGACGGTGCAGTAACTTAGACTAGAGAAAAGACTACAGAGGATTAGGTGATGGCATCCATGAACACACTTGCAAAGGTTAATGCAAGTGAATTTCAAATGTATTCAGAGTCGTCAAATAAACGCAACGCAGAAAGTGGAATCTGACACCAAGAAACCCAAAGAGAACAAAGCATCAGTTGAATCAGAGGAAGAAGTAATAACTTACCCTTAAAAAGTCCATATGGGTTTGGTCCCTCCAATCAGGATCACAGATGTCGAAAGAACCCAATCCTGCGAAGCAAAAAAAGAAAAATATGAAGAATGAGGTATCGACGTCAAGATATCGACAAGATGAAGGACCTGGATGCGAGTACTATGGTTGTTGGATGTGAAGATGAAAAAAATGCGACAATGGAGAATGTGTTAACACACGAATAGAGTGGAAAGCCATTTACCAACACAAACTAGTCGCAAGAAGTCGATGTATAGTGGTCGAATGCTTGTCGAAGGGATGGAACAAATAGGGAGATAAAATCAGCAAAATACAAGTGCAGTGTGGCGTAAAGTGACTGTGACACTGAAGGCACAGCAACTGGATAAGCGATTTGTACGGTGCAGCTCCAGTGAAGAGGACGTGTCACTATTGTCGTTTACACCAGACGCCAGTACGTTGGTTGGTAAGCTTAATTCTCAAGCGATATTCCAGTAAACAAAACTGAAAGTGCTGAGGTATAAAAGTGGCAACAAATATACCAAAAATACCAAAAATGACGCGACTGTCACTCGTTGATACCGGTAGACAGGGACCACGGCTAAATGGTTTAGTAACAGTGATTTCATAATAAGTAGGATAAACACTTCACTTCATTAATGGGACTGCGGGACATTCTTCGGCGAAACCGGATCAAAGAAGCAAGTCTATGAGTACACAAAATTGGTTTGTAGCAATGAGTGGCAACATTCCACGTGAGTGCGGATACGTACTTGGTTTTGATTCCCTTCGGACAAAATAGGAAGTGTATAAGCATGTAAGACCTCAATATCTTAGTATCCCACTTTGCAAATATCAGGTATTTGTGATTCTAAGAAAGTGTTATTTTTAGTTAAAAGCTGTGATGGCAGAGACAGAAGTAAACTTTACGTCGTTTGAGTTGCGGATCATCATGAAGCCTTTGTTTCTCCAGAAAACGTCCGCGAAGGAAATTCACAATGTTACAAACACGGGGAGAGAAGGGTCCATCCTGGTGCACTGTCAACACCCGTATATCTCGTTTCGAGAATGGCAATTGCAACATTACACGTACTGGGATGTATCAGGTTGATACGCAGTTAGGACTGTCTGACGGACGGTCAAAATCAGAAGGAAGTGATGCTGGTAGCAGCTCGGTCAAAAGAGAACTCCATCAGGTGCTAGCACTCCGGTTCGAGAGGAGACCCTAGTTTATGGCTAAGCTATCAAGTTTCCCTGGCCACAGTGACCACGAAAGATGCTGGTTTAACAGCGATTAGGAGGAAATACAATACCCACTGCGTTCTGTTTGTAGATCGCGTCACTAGCCCAATTGGATCCGGGATTATTAATAGTATTACACCTTTTGCTGGGCACAACTGCGCGAACAGGACGAGTGTAAAATAGTTATTGACCCTTACTGGGTCGTCAAATTGAGCAGCTGGTATGATCATCCTCGAACAATTCGTTGGCCGCAAAATCGCCAGAGCCGTACAATGAGCGCGCAGGCAAGAACCCTGTCAAGCGGGTGTATAGCGGGCTGCAACACTGACGCCTTTCGACGCCAAACTGTGCGTCATTCTGGGTTCATGAAGCAGAACCGGGATGTACATGTTAATTAGCACGTGCTCTAACCAATGCAAAACGCTTCCAACAAGCGAACTGTAATGATCACCGTTCAAGGGTATGCGTTAGCACCTATGCCACCTCCAGCGTTTTAACGGTGGGTAAATATCAGCAGGCACCTGGGGAGTCGATGAACAGATAAGTATGGCTGGCAATCACTAGCATAATCGAAAGTACCGCACGTAAAAATAGTTTTAGAGCAGCACTGAAAACTACCTAATCCTAGTACAATAAAATTAAAAGTACTGTTCTTGTTACGGTAGCTCTTGAACTAGCCCAATATGTAAAGTACGCGTCCTGGTCATAAGTGTAGGGTAATACAAAAAAATGCGTTTACTTTTCCTTCTGGAAGGATGACGGATATAGGGAAGCGAATTGCGTCCCGCAACGGAGTGGAAAAAGACGGACCTGAACTGGACAATCTGAATGATGCCGGTCTCACTCTCCAACCGTTGAACAGAAAGAGGACGATAGCTGAATAGCATACGTTAATCAATTTACACCGGGGCAAAAGTGCAGCATGCTTCTGTTTTTGTGAAAGAATAAACGGTTGTTGATAGGGCTAATTGCGCTTGAGGATGGTCAAGTGGAATCGCAAGAAAACTTTTAGCTATGGCCATGAGAAAAGTAAGATGGGGTCAACGACGTTGCTGTTAGGTGAAGTTACCTGAAGTACTCACCATCAGTATAAATGCCAACGGTGGCCAAAATAGCGTTGAGCAGATTCCTGCATTGTGGCAGCCTGATGCTTGTAGATGAACCAGTGGATGGGCATGGAGTTGTGGAAAGAATTAGGAGAGAATTTAGCGCACAATCCACTTCATTCGGAAGTCCGGAGGAAAGAGCTAATTCAACCAAAACTAGTTCAGTCGGGTCACGCAAACGGAGGGGATCGTTTAAACAAGAGCGGGCGATTGCGGAGAGCTGATCGGAATCACAAGCTGGGTCGAGAGCATTGGGGTATAGCTTATCGAAAGAGGTATTGAGGCGCGGAACATCCTGCAACAAAAAGAACGCATGGAGATCAGAGACTGCTAACAGTATAGACGTAAGCGGCTACAAAACCGCCTTAAAAGACTGCAAACACAAACCTGAATATTCTGTGGAATTCGGAGGTCAACGAGTGAATGATAGTTGGAATGTAACGACGGGGTTCCATAAGCATCGGAATGAGAGATGCCCAGATTACGCTCAATCGAATTGGCGGGTATAAAGGGAAGCTCCTTCTCAATTGGATCGGGTGAAAATTCGCTGTACAACTGGGTGAGATAATTTTTCACAAGGTTAGGATATTCATCAAGTTCAAATTTGATAAGGAACCGATGATAGATGCAGCGTAATCCAACAGCAGAATTCGTGCATGACGATGGCAAGCTGAGCTCTTCGGCGACGTCAGACCACAGACGTTTATCACAAACCGATCGGTAACCACCGCGAACAACGACGGCAGTAAACAGATCTGCCAGCTTGATAGGATGTCCGAGGAGAAGTGGAGCGCATAACTCATACTGCCTAAAAAATGGGAAACAAAAAAGCGTAGAAACTTACTTCTGGATTTTTCGAAGCACATCAGTGTTTGCTAACTCCCTATCCCGAGTTCTTGAAGACTTGGAGGAGAGATTTGGGCAACTGGTAATACGTTTGGTTCGGTTCATGGAATTTGTCTATCTCATAGCCTAAAATTGTGATGGAAAGTGACAATAAGCGAGAAGTTCGGAGATGTTCAGAAAAGATGAGCTAAAAGTAGCTTTGGTACTTAAAGTCAAATCAGGAAAACTGATAATTTTGATGATAAGAGTGGCAACATAGTTAATTATTGAAATGAAGGCGACCGAATTTACCGAGTACGTCTATAAAAACCATCCACTAATCTAAATCTTGCCCGGTATAAAGTGTAAACACAGAAAAGATATATCCCAGAAAAGCAAAACATGATATTTTGCCACATAAATAAGGACTAGATATGAAGTACATCAGTTGACTGAACTCAGGGTTTGAGCGGACATCAATAGACGTAGTATTCTGAAAAAGAGGGACAGGAACGACCAGCTTAAGAAAGCTTACAATATTCGGAAGAAGAGTGGCAATAGGTTATTGGGAATTGAAACTCAGATCCAGAAGCACAACAGACATAATGAATTTGGGTAAGCAAGTTCGAGCAATGAAAATGGGCTTTAATATGGTGTGTATGCTTCTATAACATTTTACACAATGAAAGGCAATGACCCATAGAAACGCTTGGAGCTACTCGCACTATGGATCAGAGAAAAATCTCTTACTAGCTTATAAGCTGGGAATTAAAAAGGCTAATGATCCTGGTTTCTCGAAATCGACCCATGAGTCTCAGCGTGCACGAAAGCCAACGCCGGTTTATGCCTGCGGTCAGATGCGAAGTCAGTCTTTTGACTGCAACGACCGGTTCCATATGCAGTGGTTTCAATCGTCGACCAAGAACTTGACAGGTCACAGTCCGCTGGAGTTATCGAATCGACCAAATACTATTGAGCAGCTCCCATTGTGATTGTCAAAAAAGCAAAAAGAAATATGCGCTAAGGTGCGGACTATACTACAGACCTGAATGCCGCATTAGAAGACCACAAGTACCCTCTACTCCTTCCTGAAGACTTTCACATCTGAACGGTGGCAAGTGTTTTGCTAGATGGACCTGTCCGATGGATATATCTAGATGAAAATGTTAGAAGAATCGCGGGAGTTGCTAACGAGTAACATCCACAGAGGACTATTCCAGGATACAGGCCTGCCGGATATAATTCAGTAGATGATGGACACGATGCTACAGAGAATGTCAATTGCCGCTGTATACCTAGAAAACATCATTGTCATGGAATCTAACCCGGAAAAGTTACACCAGCGAACGAAACACGTGCTTGATAGGATAGAGAAGTATGGATGTCACCTGAGAATAAACACGTGTGTTTTTCATAACACCCACAAAATACATCGGTTTTATCGTTGATCAAAGTGGGCGACGACCTGATCCATCAAGGTGATCAAGAGCGTGCCCCTCTAAAGACGTAGCGACATTAAGATATTTCTTTAAGATATCAGCAGTACGACGTACGCTTCATTGCCGCGTAACCACTATCAGTCGCACGTGGACTAGAGATAATGCGAGTCTGCTGGTCCCCTACACAGGCTCGAACCCGCGCCCTCGGATTACAAGGTATGCTCACCATCCTTTAGATCACAAGCAGACTAAGATCTTTCCTTAGTGGGTACCTATCTACTGTTCATACACGATCTCCGAGGACCACTAAACCGATTGTTAATGAAGGATATTCCGAATGTCAAGAAAGTTTTGACAAGATCAAATCGTCATTAACTTAAGTACTGATGCTGACGCACTGCGACCGAAAGCTGCCAATCGTAGTGTAAGCGGATGCATCCAGCTAAGGAGTCATCACGCACGTTCTTCCGAACGGACCTGAGAAGCTAGTCGCTCATGCCGCTCATTCTCTGCCCATAACAAAGAAAAATTATAGCCAAATTGACGAAAGTCTCGCTATTTTGTTTGCAGTGAGACATTTCCAAAAATGCCATATGGCCGACACTTTACTATACTAACGGACCACAAACCACTTCTCGCTGTATTCGGTTCCAAGAAAAGAATCCCAGTATACACGGCTAATCCTTTGCAGAGATGGGCGACATGTCTAGAGTATGAATTCAAGATCAGATATCGATCAACAAACGACATTGTCAGGCCGATGCGCTATCACGACTGTTAAACGAACAGCACCAGCCAGATTACGCTGTCATTGCTAATAGATCCATCGAAACGAAAGCTAACCGTGTGCACTCAGATACAGTGAACGGACTCCCAATACCTTTCAGTAAGATTCCAGACGCCACTTTACGTGACCCGTTGCTGCACGTTTTACCATTTACAATAGGCACGGAGAATTCAGGACGCGCAGCTACAATACCTGTTCCAGAGACAAAGTGCATTATCTGCCGTCGAAAACTGCATCATATTTGGTTAATGCGCTGTCATCCTAGGTGAACTTCAACCCAAAGTCCTAAAGCAGTTCCATGTTGAAGATACTGGCTCCATAAGAATGAAGGTTATGGTAAGAAATTGTGTACTGGCTGATTATGGATACTCAAACTGAAGTAAGAGGTTCAAGTTCAAAGTGTGTCAAAGCAGCGAAATCCCCGAGGAAATGCGAACTGTTCTCCTGGCCGACGCCCACGAGACAATGGTGAAGGATTTCCTTTGATTTTGCAGAGCCAATCAAAAGAGGGAACTACTTACTTATTACGGGTGCATACAGCAAGTGGCCCGGGATCTTCAATATCGGCCATGATCACAACCTTCGAAGTATTTAGTCGGCTCGGTTTTCCGTAAACATTGGTATCCGACAATGGACCTCCGTTCACCCCTCGCATTGCATGAATTTTGTAAGTTACATGACATAGAGTACGTACGCTCATCTTCTCATCATTCACAGACCAATGGGTAAGCTGAGGTTTGTGGATACTTTCAAAAGAGCTCTGCTCAAAGCTGAAGGAGACACACATATTCAAGAGATCTTACAGACTTTTTTGCTAACATACAGGGCTACGCATTACCCACAGAGGCCTGACGAAAAATCACTAATAGAATCGCGTCTACTCAGATCGCTAATAGACCCAATTCCGAAAGGAATTGAAGAATGGAGCATCAGTACGACCGAAGACATTATGTTATACTGCGACATTGGATAGGTGTTGGCAAAGGACTATCGGAGCAACAAAATCTCTTCGGCACCTGGAGTGATTATAAAATGACATGGTCACGTCTGCTTTGAAGTGGTTGCAAGCGATGACAAATGGGTTCGCCGCATCAACTAACTACATCGTTCAACAGAAGACGGGATATCTTAACTAATAGACAAGCATAAAACTGCTAACAATAGAGGCTACTCAGCAAGATAAGCTCATCATCCCACCAAGCTTGCTTGCACTTGACTGTCGACCCAGAAGATGGACGGATTGCTGCCGAGTCCTTGACACCGCCCCAGGTCGACCCTAGAAAGAAATCATAACAGTGGACTTCAAACAGAGAGCTATTAGGAGGAGCGTCTTCTAAGGAATGGGCCAGTGAACCATACACGGACCAGATTGCGACCCTTTTCCGGAAATCAAGTAGAATAATCGTATTGGTTGATCAGAAGAATGTTCTTGGACAAGCTGATGCTGGATTGGTAAGTAAAGAACAAAAAGGAACAAAAAAGGTTCAGGGAGGTCAGCAAGGGCACATAAATATCGATAGTTCGTGTTACGTATTTGTCTAGTGTCTGGCGGCCATTACACGGATACCCACAACCTGTCTACTTGATCGGCCAATTAGAGTGGTTAAGTCTTTCTCAAACCAGTCAAGTAGAGCGAGCCGGCGTGATTTTGATGACCATCTGGATGAGTTTGGCGATAGAAAGGAGAGCCTGCTCCGCGACTGACTCGAGAGTTTCGTCGTATCAATAATGCTTGGTGCACGTATCACCACCGGTGTGAGAGAAGGTTGCCTGCTGTCATCTACCCTATTTAACTTCACAGTTTACGAAATCATGGAAACAGCATTCTCTGGACACGACCCAGGTGTGGAGCTACTTCCTGGTGAGCGACTTATTGACTTGGCGTATGCGGATGATACTGCCCTAATCTGTGATAGCTCCCAAACATTCCAAGAAGTACTGACTGTCTATCGTTTTGGGCTATGCTTCTCTCCATCGAAATGCAAAGTACTTCTCCAAGATTGGAAGGGATCCACCCCTGCACTAACGCTTGGTGGTGATCAGCTAGAAGTCGTTCAGGAATTCAAGTACCTGGGCAGCTGTATTAACGCCAGTGGGGTCGAAGATGAGGTTACGAACTGTATAGCAAAAGCTCGAGGTGCTTTTGCCAATCTCCGCCACCCGTGGAGCAGACGCGACATCCCTCTCGCCCTGAAGGGCAGAGTTTAGAACACAGCCATCCGTTCAACCCTACTATATGATTGTGAGACCTAGCCCATGAGGTCAGCAGATATAAAGAGGCTCGTCACATTCGATCACTGCTGCCTTCGCAACTCAGTTCAAGTCTGGTGGGAGCACCGCGTGAGCAATGAGCGTGTTCGGCGTCACATATTTGGTGCAGGAAGAGCGAGTGAACCGTTCAGCCCCATTATATCACGCACCAGGCTCCGATGGCTCGGCCATGTGTTGCGCATGCCAGCAAAGCGACTCCCGCGACGTGCATTGTTTGCGCGCCAGGGGTGCGGTTGAAAGAGGAGGAGGGGAGACCAAGCTGTGTGCTTCTCACCCTCAGCTAACGTGTACTGATGACGATGAAGGCAAAGCAGGTGTGCTACGCCGAACGCCGCCAACATAAAAAATTCTTTGACTCTTTAAAGGCGGTGCAGACTCATCTTGAAGCCGATGAGGACGCTTGTCGATGCCACTTACAGCGATGCATGCACACAGACGGCAGATATAATGCAGATCTGATGAAAGCACTCCGACTATCTCTTGACGACCATACAGAGATTGATTGGCATACGCTTCATGGGCTGCAACAAACAGAAATGAAGATATTTTGTCGATACACAGATACTGAATGATACGCAGAAAGCACCTGCTCAGCTGCGAAACGGCAAATGCGCTGGAGCCGACGGAATACTGTCAGAAGTGTCGAAACA